GATAGATATATATATATATAGATAGATATATATAATGTAGTAATGTCCTGATACAGGACAATTTCACAAGTACTTATACTCGTGAAAATGCCCCGATAAAAGTTGATACCGGCCTTTAAAATCTTGAAACAAAAATGGCTGCCTAAGGTCCCGCGCTTGCTGGAGACCTCAGGCAGCCTGTTGGGGACCTTGTGGCAGCTTTCTTTTACGGAGCCAGTCTGGGCCCACATCTCTTCCTCCTACTTGCCGGCATAGTACAACCCTGTAGAGCCCGGCACCTACCTGTAGAGCCCTGGTGAGACCCGCATGCAGCCCTATATAATTGCTGAATAATCATGAATTGCTGACATGTGAAGTCCTCTATAGCTGGTTGCCATTCTCCATTGCTGTATAATCATGCATTGTTGAGATTTGTAGTCCTCTATAGCCGGTTGCCATTCTCCATTGCTGTATAATTGTGAATTGATGGGATCTGTAGTCCTCTATAATTATGAAGAAACTGCCCTTTAAGAAAAAGTATTGGTAAAAACAGTGAGATGGGCTTCTTTTCAACAGTCTCCTGAGTTTCTGTCCTGCACCAAATAGTCTTTTTGTTGTTGTTGTATGCTTGTATGTTTGTATAGCTTTCTTTTATTAACGTTAGTCACTGGACAAGAATATCACTGAGAATGGCAAATGTTTGCCACTGGATTAGAATATGGCAATCAATTTATTATAGTCTTAAAGTCCCCATGTAGAAGGGTATTGGAGTCTGTAGACAGCATGAATGTTGTCATGCATATTAATAATTATTAATAATGTTTGAATTAGCCATTTCATATAACATCATTTATAATCTACATAAATGCATTATATTTTGGTTCATCAAAGGTACAGTCAGTCTATTTGACTGAGTTAATAGGTTTTAATAGCATGAATTGTAGCATGCTATATTTATCTTGTTTTACAGATGAGGGCATAATGAGGGGTATCTAGTTTTAATTCACCTATCTGAATTCTGAGCATAGCCAAGTGCACACAGAAGAGAATAATAGCACTCTGGACTGTAGTTTTCCAATGGTGAAATACTTATCTTGTTTAAAAAAAATAATTTTTTATTTTTTATTTATTTTTTGCTTATAATAAACAGGAAAGTTTTAGAAACATATTTTTGCTTGCAAGTTAATTTCTAAATGTGAAATTCTGCACTGCAAGTGTTAATACAATCTTGTTTCATGTCCTTTAATAAATTGAATCTCCCAAGGATTTTGGTTTAATTTCGTTTATGCTATTTTCATTCCTTTTTGTCCTTTGGAATTCATATCGCTTGCTTGTTGCCAGGACCTGGGGCCTTAATACTTTCCCATTAATGTCATTTATTTTGTTTCAGTATTGATGGCTTTCCTAATGCCGTCTGATCAGTAGGCTGCAATGCTGGCAGCTGGCCCAGGATCGGCAGTGGTTTTAATAAATCACAATCAGACCCATGCCATTACATCAATATTTTTAGTCAATTATAGAGAAGGTCAGGTGCTGCATTCAGCAATGACGCTCCAGCATGTGGCATTTTGAGAAAACATCTGGTGCAGCAACCAAGATGCAGGTTTGGAAGGAATGGGAAAAATCGGTATTGACCATTTGAGGCAGATCAAATGAAATCTGCATTATTATAGTCAAACCACAGATGATTACATGTTCTTTTTTTTACGCGGTGTGGTTATTACACCTAATTCTGTTATAAATAAAGAGATTCCCAGGTTCCATTTCAATGAAAATGAAAATATTATTTTCTCTGAAGCAGATGGGATTTGTTGTTCCCTCACAGCAGGCATCTAATATCTTTTGACACCTAGTGACCTGTCTGAATGCAATTTGTGTCTTAATATCAGGCTTACACAAGCTGCTGCTGCTGCTTCAGAAAGTCAACGTGTTCTTTATTCCTTGAGATTTGTGCAGTGTTTTTTCTTCTAGCACAAAGTGTGAAAGTATTCAGCTGACATAGAATTGGTGAATATTTGCCCTTTGCTGTCACTGATTTTTTTTCTTTTTTCTTATACATTTTGAACAGTTACTGATTCCCTAAGTAAAATATGTAGCTGCCATCCTCTACCTGTTCATACATTAATGTTATTGATGTGAGGCTCAGGTGAAAAGAAGAAGCGAAGCTGATAAGGAACAGAGGATTAAGCAAAAAAAGCGGCTGAAATGAACAGTGTGCAGGGGAGCATTTTTTTTCTCCACACACTATGCACCTAACAGGCATTGTGTTTATTTGGGTCAGGAGACAAATCATCTTTCATGTAGATGACACCTGGTAAAGTGGCTGAATGCAAGAAGGATGAGAATAGATGATGGAGAACAGTAGATGAAAGTCTCTGAGGACAGGCTACCCTTTTCTCATCGTGTCCTTCATTGCATTCTAATAGGCTGACTAATGTACCATAGAAATTCACTCTGGTTCTTTGGATAGTTGGGGAGAAAAAGAAAGTGGCGCTATTTGACATCAGAGAAAAAAAAAATCCTACGTAAAATTGCAGACATAAATTATCATAGGCGCTGCAATAAGCACTTCGGCATTTTTATACCAAACCGGCGGGATGTTTTAGATTAGCGCATAGAAGCAAAATCGGGATGCAGCTGCTTTCAAGACGCTGTTTAAGATTGCTAGGAATATGTTCTAATGGATGCCCTCAAGCAAGAAGCTAGCATTTTCCCTCTGCATGTCAAGAGCCCTGCCGGTAAAATCTTTGTGATGCTCTC